AAGAAGCTGCTGAAAGAATGCTTGAGGCAGCAGCAGACATAACAGGAAGTTCAAGCAGAGGAAGTGCCATGGCAAGACAAGACCCTGCATGGGATGTACCATTGACAGATAGCTCAGGTGGCTGACATTGGGAAATTGTACCAGTGGCTGGAAAAGGTTGGACTAAAAGACAGCACTGAGGCACTGATCATAGCAGCACAAGAAGAAACACTAAGCACCAGATCCATAGAAGCAAAGGTCTACCACAATAGACCAGGACCCAAGGTATAGACTGTACAGAGAGGCCTCAGAAACAGTGCAACACATAGTGGCAGCGTGTAAGATGCAGGCAGGAACAGCATACACTGAATGACAGGACCAAGTAGCTTGCATTGTGTACAGGAACATCTGCACAGTTTATGGGCTACACCCTCCCAAGTCCAGATGGAAGATTCCACTGAAGGTCATGGAAAATAATAGGGCTAAGATCCTGTGGGACTTCCAGATCCAGACAAAGAGACAGGTACTGGCCAATCAACCAGACATTGTAGTAGTAGACAAGGACTAGAAGACAGCAGCAGTGATAGATACAGCAGTGCCAAGCAACAGCAACATCAGGAAGAAGGAGTATGAGAAGCTGGAGAATTACCAGGGCCTGAAGGAGGAAGTAGAGAGGATGTGGAGAGTAAAGGCCAGAGTGATCCCAGTGGTGGTAGGAGCACTCAGTGCTGTAACTCCTAAGCTGGGAGAGTGGCTCCAACTGATCCCAGGAACCACATCAGAGCTCTCTGTCCAGAAGAGTGCAGTGCTAGGAACAGCTAAACAGCTAAGATTCTGTTCAGTACCCTCAAACTCCCAGGCCTCTGGTGGAGAACCCGAGATTGAGGAAGACACGTACCACCCATTGGGGTAAGAGAGGATTATATTTATATTTATATATAAAAGGCAGGTAAATGTAAAAGAATATATTTGTGCATACATATGCAGTATGCTGTTTCACATGCAGTGCTATAATGCTGCTGAAGTTGCAAGCTGAAAATGCAAAAGACCACTGTCAGAACTATGCTGATCATTTGGGCTGATTAACTGAGCATATGTGTGTTTGCACTCTATGAATGTTCTGTCCCCTTATGAGCTTTGTAATACATTAAAGTGCAGGTTTTGCCCGTTTGTCAAGCCTGGGGCAGGTTTGTATCTTGATGTTGTGATAAAACTGTTACAGAAAATTAAAGCAACCACGTTTGTTTTTGTAGCAACAAAACACAGGCAAACAGACCGGTCCAGTCCACCAAAGAGCAACACATCAGTTGCTTTTATTGGGCAAGTGAATTACAAAAACAAACAAATAGCCATATATCTGGAAATTCCTTAGCAGTGGGATATAGTGGTGGTCCATAATGTTTTTGATTTTTTTAAAAAAATATGTTTTAAAAAATAAAAATAATCTCTTAAACCAGTTTTATTTACTTTGGTAGTAATTCACAATCAGCGTGGATTACCATACCAGCTCGTAACTAGGGTGAAAAAAAAGTCACAACTTGCCATTGTTTTCTTTGGACAGATCACTCAAAAAATTTCAACTTTTGTTTCATTGGAGCAGAGTTTACTCAGAATGTTCCAGTGAAACACTTTGAGTAGCACTGATTTCTTCCAAGCAATAAACAAAACATGATTCCCATTTCATGCACACCCCTAGTTGTTTGGTCATCTATTTCTTTTATAACTTCAGCAGCATGGGTGGTTTTAATATGTGATACCTAAAGTGTAATGCATGAAAGGTTAGAAATGGGGTGGGGCAAATACTCAGTTGATACTACAAAGATAATACTGCTTTTCAGACATTTCCTAATAACATAAAGTAAAAACTTTAAAACCCATTCCTACTGTAATTTTGTTGAATTTATAATATGCAATAGTATGTTCTTCATGAGTTGAGTACAATTAGAAGAATTTGTTTTGCTGATTCATAACAATAAATTTAATTAATAAATAAATAAGTAAATACATAAAAAAAAAAAAACATTCGTCTTGGCCAGTTCAGGGAATATATTTGTGTCCTCTCTGAATATAATTGTGATTTGCTAAATTATTTGAGTTCTGACCATTTAGCACACAATCTTAAAGCAAAAAATATCTTTTTATGAGAGATAATACAGTAATTATACATCGCCAGACTGACATTTCAGATTACATTAACTTAGCCAATTTGATTTCTTCAATCAAATATTTTTCAAAGCAACATTGGGTTAGTAGGACCTGTGTAGATGGTTACATGTGTCATCCTTAATTTAATTTTGCCTGTCAAAACACAATTAAGTTTTCTGTGAGTAATTTTTATGGTGTGGTCTTACTTTCAGGGGGTGTTTTGCTTGTGGTGCCATAATGTTTCAGGTATTAGAAAAAACACAGAATGAGATTGATGTCTTTCTAAGATGACATATTTATGCTGCATTTGCACATGTACACAAGTTGTTTTGATATGCTTTATTGTCTTTCATTAAGTATACAAACAGAGAAGATTTACTAGAGGAATGCAAATGTCTTTTAATCACAAAATGTTTGGACCCCATCAACGAACCATTGTCTTGCCTGCTCAGCACAGCATGTAAAACACCATGAGGACATGAACTGACTAGTGTGATTATGTTAATTGTTATCAGCCTAACACTTTTCATTAAAACTTAATTACCATTTAATCATGTATAAAAGGATATAAAATGGAGTTCAGCATCCATCCCTGACCTTTACTCTCCAGGGTTAAATGTATTTAAGCTAGTTATTAGAAATTTTATTAGAAACTGAGGTACTGACTAAATATCACCTATCAAAGCATAGAAACATTGATAGGTGTAAGTAGGTATTGAAATTCTGTTAGCCACAGAAGACCTCTGGCCTTAAAATATCAAAGCTCATATAGTTAATTTGTCGCAGGTTTATTGGCAGACTTATTTTTCTGACTTGCACATTCTACTTCCTCCTCCCAGCACCACTTTCTGAACTAAGAGGTTTATTTGTGGGCAGTGGTGTAATACCAATTAGAAAATTAATAAAAAATAGTGGCAGCAATGCTTAGGTGCATACAAGTAGAAGATGAGTGTTCTCTGAGCATTGCCCTTCTGACATGAATGCAGTAAAAATGTATGGAACTATCCTCTTTTTCCTGGTTGCCCAACAGCAAAGGAAATGTTTGTGCTTTTCATCTTCCTATGTACTCTTTGTTGGGTTAAAGTTTCAGAGTTTGTGTAGCTTGACCAAGGAAAGAAAGAAGGTGAGATGGAGATATCGAAAGTGAAGTTAGGCCTCCTTTTTCCTCTGTGTAATGGGATTAGGCTACCAAAGTGCATATAGATTTAAATAGTTTGAGAAGAAAAGTGAATGCCTGTATGTTTGTTTCCCGGATACGATTCCTTTGCTCAAGTAAAAAAGTATTATGCTGTTTATTTTACTTAATTCAGGGTTGGTGGACAGGTATGTTTGTGTTGGGTGGGATGGGGGTACAGGACATTTATATTAAAATAAAACTTTTTAAAAAGCTTCCAAAATGTTTAGAAAATGTGAAACAATTCATGGATATCCGGGCATATCTTAATTTTTTACATTACTATTGTCATTATTACTCTTACTACTGTATTGGAGTATAGGGCTTTTCATACCATAGCCTCATTATTTTGTTTGAAGTGTGACTTTTATTATTCTTTTTTTCCTCTCTGCATCTAAAATCTTTGCTAGAGACAATAATGTTAGCAATGAAGGGAATGTTGTCAGCTTCAATGTCAACAGCTGGTCAGGAGAAGGGCAACATTTTTAGGAACTGTTCTGTGGTTTCTCATTACAGAAGGAGAGTTTATGTATAAACGAAAAAGTTAGAAAAGAGAGATTTCTAAACTACACATGCAGAAGTTGCTATCTTATACCTTTTAGGAAATATACTGAAAGTACTAGCCAAAGAAATTTAGATTAATATTTTACAAAATAGTCAATAGCTTGCCATTGCTGAATTGTCTTATTCATTAGTACCTATCATTTGTTTCAGATATAATTAGAATCACACTGGAGTACTGTAATGAAATGTGTTAGGTCTAGTTAATATTAATACCTCCTTATCAGCAAAAGTGTATATTACAGGTTAGTCTAATAGTATGCAACTGCTCCTAGCAACTCTGCCAAATTGATGATATCCTAGTTTACAAAGAGCAGGTGATCATAACATTTCCAAGAAAATAAAGGCCAGATTAATAGCTTTTTAAAAATACTTTTCAACCCAACAAAATGTTGGAAAGCATTTATATAAAGGGGTGGGGCACTGCCTATCTGTCCATCATAACTCCCAGAAAACTGAACAGAAAAGGATCAATTTTGATGGGGTGGGGGGAGAGAAGCTGGCAAAAAAAAGATTGAAATGGGTTAGAGCTGGCTGTACGCTGCAGAGAAAAACATTGAGGAAAAAATTCCCTAGTTCATCCCTATGGGAGAGGTAGTTGGACCCTGGTTCAGAACATCATTGACTATTCCATTTTAAGTCCTGATCGTGCGATCCACAGCAGCACATATGCAATCCACCCAGTGCTTCCCATACATACACACAAATGCAACATGAGGAGACAGCACACATACACACATGTGCAGCATTTCATTACACAGAAGAAAATACAGATGCTTCCTATGGCTACTGATAGTAAAGGTGTTGGAAAGAATTCCAGAAGCCATGCTCTGCATGCTTTTCCTACCTTGTTTAAGTATGCACTGAACAACTTTTATTACAAAATTTTCATTTGTCTCCCATCTGTTAGGTATTAATAAACACCACCAATGAAATGCACTGAATAAGTCTCAACACTCCCCGACCCTGGCCAAAAAAGCTATATTTTTGCAGATGAGACTGGTAGATACAAAAATAGGATTAATCCTGTGGCATCTCAAACAATGAATCAGAATATGAAATACCTGTAAAAAGGTCTAGCCAAGTAAAATTTAATTCATCAGCATTTGTTGTTGTTGTTGTTGTTG